CTATATTGTTGAATCGTCTTGTAATCTTGTAATTTTCAGGTTGCTTCTCGAAGCTTCGATGAGTTCTTGACGGACTTCTTTATGATTTTTTAATTGGATACATTTTTTTTTGGCCATCTCTTTTTGGGTTTCAGTTTTTCTGTTACATGGATTCCTTCTAATCACCTTATTTTAAGTCCATTTTTCCTTGAAACTGCATTTCATAATAGCCATGTGTGTATCTGTCAATGCTGAAGGGTTCTGACGATCGTGGAGCCTATTATATATTAGATTATTCATTTTCTGAACAACATCTTTTGTCTTGTATTCTCAATGAATACAGCGTTTCGGAATGTATATCCATTTCCATCCTCAGGTGGAAAGATGGGAATGTAGATATTCAGTTGGGCTTAGGGCCGCATTTAATGGTGGGGGGACCAATGCTGTCGTCCTGGGGATTCCCCAAAACAAATCGAACCCACAGTTTTATCGATACATTCCATTATCTAAAATCGCGAAAAATGTTTCAAACTTCATGGAGCTGAGCCCTAATTGAGAAGCCACCAATTGTTCAGCTACTCAAGAACTTGCCAAGAACCTGAAGGTTCATTACCGTGTTCACAAGAGCCCTACACTAGTCCCTATCCTGAGTCAGATAAATCCAATCCATACCATCCCATCCTATCTCTCTAAGATCCATTTTAATATTGCTCACCCACCTACATCTTGGTCTTCCTAGTGGTTCCTTTCCTTCTGGCTTTCCCACCAATATCCTATATGAATTTCTCTTCACCGCAATCGAAAAATGGTTCTGAATTTTTAAATATTAAAAGAGGTAATGGAATCCGTCATGACCTAAATTTGTTGTTTCTGTCATCCGGCAGTGGTTTGCTTATTAGAGAGAGCTAACCGCAGTCACTCGTCATTCACTGAGTGAATTGGATCAGTTCTTATTTACCGCGCCTTATCTCCTCAGGACGCAAGTAGGTCCTGTTTCCGATGCGTTATCCTCATATTCTTTCAGGACACTGGACAGGAGACAAAGTCCAGAAAATCTATAATCCCAAATCAATTTGTGTTTGTGAATAAGCCATTTTGCTGTTTAGAAGTCGTCAAGGAACTTAATATGGAACATCGACTATCAGGATCGTTTGTTTGTCTGTCTGTCTGTTAGCAACAGACCTGTCGAGGGTCCCTTTCCCAATACCAGATTAGTTAGACGGTAAATTAGTTGCGTAATTATTTGCTTGATTGGCCACTTAGTCACACATCCACTAGTTAATTCAGCCGGTGTTGATAGACTGTTGTCAGTAAGTATGGTTTGCAAGGCCTGGGTTCAGATCTCGACAGGCAAATCCATATTCTCTTCGCCACCTTGTCCGGATATCTCCTAGCTTCCTGTTCAAAATTTGCCAAGGGCTCTTTCCCGATGGTAACACCACCAGAATTCCATCTAGTGTCAATGTCTGGAATCTTTAGAACTTTACTTCCACATGTCCCATAAGTCTTCATGGCTTGATCAGGCATGGTTTCTTACGTGGTTCGTGTATCTACCACTTGCTTTAACATAATAAACCCTGCATTCTACCAACAGGGTGTATTCGTGGGTTTCATATGGTCCTTGCAGTAAACAGCGATAGTTTCCGCAAACAACATTAATGGTTGCGCTTTGTAGCGGATACGTAATGTTTCCTGTGAGGTACGGACTGAATCTTTATGTACCATTCAGAATAAATTCAGTCTTTTAAACGAATTGTCGGTGAGGAATACAGCCCACGATGATTCCTTTATTCAGTGCTTAGTCTACACAGATCTGTTATTTCCAAATTAGGTTGGCTTAGGCGAGATTCTGAATTTATCCAGAGGGTGGCGGTTCTAATCTTGGTTACGACTTCGACTAACCTCACTGAAGCTTTTCCTATTCTTCCTCACTCCTGTGTCCATCTCTTCCCCCTCCTGTTGAGATTTGAATTTCTCACGATGCTTAATGTAAAGATTACTAACCGTGTTCTGGGAGTGACACCGTGCAGTCTGGTATAAATGTATCAACGCTTCGGAGGACCTTCTGCCTCTATATTAAAAGGGACTCTTTTTTTCTGTAATTGGAAACAGTAGATTCCTCCGAAATGTTAGTAACTTTCTACTAGACTACACAGCGTCACTTCCCTAATAACAATATTCTTTTTTTTTTTTTTTGTAACTTTAGATAATATCTTTTCGGGAATTTAATTTCCCCTTGCCCTGTTAGCTTGCGTGTTCAAGTCAGTTCATCCATATAGGTGATTTGAAATTCATGATATGAAACAGAGAACCGTAAGTGACCCAAGAGGATGTTATGCTTATTAAACTTCGAAATCTGCTTTAGCCCTATGTAACAGTACAACCTCCCTCAACACTAAAAAATGTCTTAATTTTCCCCGCAAGTTTTACTTGTGGGTAAAATGATACATAAAGGTAAAGCCATCCGTGCAACAAGCCATGGAGGCCCATAAGGTTGTGAGACGTCGAGGCTCACACATTTTCTAGGCAGCTGGATAACAGATGGCGGTGAGGTTATCTGTTAGAGGCTGAGTCGACTCAAGGGCCATAGTGCGGCTGGAAGAATTAGGTTAATTGAAAAAAATCACCTCATCGGGACTCGAACTCGCGTTCTTCCGGCTAGTAACATAGTGACTCAACCAACTACGCTACCGCGTGCCCCATTATGATATAAATATTAAATATAGAAATCACTATGCATTAAAAGAACGGTATTTATCCTAATTCTAAATATAAACAAATGCAAGATAGATAAGATAAAGGTTGGTATGTAGTTCTTCTGCGTATGACGTCATTCAGTTACCAGAGCCAGTTTAATATCACAAGTTGAGAGTTCAGCAGGCAGTCTCATCCTTTGTTATGTAAGTTACCGTGTTAGTTTCTTCTGCCTTTCTCCCGCATTCCTTTCCAGCCCTACCTGTTATCGAATGATCCGCTGAGGCCGACGTTTAACGACGTCTCCCACGAATAACACGCACAAATATTCAATCATCAACAGTTTCCTTTATGCAGTATATACTAAACTTCACATATCCACATTAAATGATTTAGTACTCACAGAATAGACACGAAACTCTGAGAGGAAGGACTGATCGCTTGATCATGACCTACCACATAAGATACATTCATGCAACAACGCTCGGCATTTATTGCTATGGCAATCTGGAATTGCTTAAAGAATATAATAAATCTCACTCTTGACAATCTTCTTTTAAAGGCGTATATAACCTACATGAAGACTACAGGTCGACTACAGGTCGACTGCAGGATTTCTAACTACGTACCTTAGACCTTTGCGCTGTTTTCACTATAACCAAAGCCAATTAAATTAATAGACTGTGGGTTCAAATGTCAATACAATAGACCTACATTGAACAGTACAAACTATTTTATTGGCAAAACTAAGTAAGAATAAAAAAGATTTTGTGTTGAAAAAATTAATATTTTGTCGGCGACATATTCGATATTATTTTATTATATTATATTATTATTTAGGGCCCTAACAGAAAATAACTTGTGATAAATTTATTTCTTAATATTTCTTGAAGTTAACATCGAAATAATTATAAATTATAAATAATTATAAATTCTGAATACAAATTTAATATCTAATTAGAGCCTTCAGGCCCTATATACTGTTAAATTACGAATAATGTTTCATGCAGTTAGAATTCCCTGACGGATTCCTCTATGTTTCTCATTAGAAATGAAAATATGAAAGTGAACTTCATTAGATGTCCTTTTTAAATTTAAACTTAAATTTTTAAGTTTAAAACATAAATTTCAGTTACGTTGATTAACAATGTATTGATGAATCCCCCCCCCCAAAAAAAAAACAACCAAGACCCTTCCCCTACAACACTTTCTTAACAATTTATCACTTCAAATAAGTTACTGGTCTTTTAAAGACCACTATCTTCCGAAATTCGTTGTAATGAAAAGATACAGCATAAGTATGCAACATATAAGTCTTCTTTGAATTCTCCTTACTGGCTTATGTTCTATCATAATTCGAATGAGATATTATGCTTGAGTCTGCCTGTGGGAATTACGTGTGTTACGTCAGCATGTACAAATTACTCCTTATCCATGTTTATGTATAAATATCTTAAAACACTTCACAATATACTACGCCTGTATTAAGTGTACTAATTAGACCACGGTTATAAGCTCATTTTAAATTATAACGTAAAATATTTTGTAGTGTAGTTGATTGAGTCATTATGCTGAATCACGGAAGGTCTCGAGTTCGATTCCCGATGACTTCATTGGATTTTTTTTAATTTACCTAATCCTTCCAGCCGCACTATGGCCCTGGGTTCGACTCAGCCTCTAACAGAAATAAGTACCAGGAATATCCCTAGGGGGTAAAAGGCGGCCGGCGCGTAAGACTGACAACACCGCCATCTGTGAGCCATTTATCTAGAAAACGCGGGAGCCTCGAAGTCTCACAATCCTCGAGGCATCCACGGCCTGTTACAGGGATACTTTTACACTTTATTTGTTTGTTGCTGTTTCTGTTGAAAGAAGTTTCTTACGCGAACTGCAATTTGAGAACGTCGTATTCAGTCACATAACTACAAGCCTAAGCATGGAAGTCGGCAGAATTGAGGGGGCAAGCCATGCCACCGCTCACTCCCTGGATTTTTTTGGACGAGTGAAAACCGAAAGAAAGGCAAACAGAAATACAATAAATATGGACACAACAGAAATTTCAGTTACTGTGAGGCAAGCATATTCTGACTTGAATGCAAGAGCGAACCGTAAAACTATTTTTAAATCGCTTAAACGTAAATTCGTATTCAAATTCTTTGTTTGACCACCACCGCCAGAAAAAGAAAAAGACTTTGCGGCGCCCATGGACGTAGGTCTAGCTGGATACGGCATTTTGACAAGTTTTATGGCAGTTGCTGGGGTCCCCTCAGTGTGGCCACGCCCCTGTGTCCAGGACCCAAACCTGACTTACACACACAGACACGTACCTGCGGGAAACCTGTGCGGGAATATTCTCCCGTGCCTCGACAGCAGCCAGGGGTACAGAGGGTACGTGTCGCGGGCTATGGCAGCGGCAGCAGGGTGAGGTGTAGGGTGGTGCGGCGGCAGGTGTCCGGGTGCTCCGGCCCCGGGAGGTGCGCCAGCCGCCGCCCCAGGCAAGAAGCCGGCGCCGTGGTGTCCCCCCGCCGTTTGCTGCGCGAGGGCGGCCGCCAGGCCCGCGGCTTGGAAGTGCTGAGCTGCCGCTGCGGCTGCAAGCGCCAGCTGGTGGTGGTGGTGGTGCCCCGGGTGGTGGTGCGAGTGGTGGTGGTGCACTAGTGGCTCTGGCAGGTACAGGCCCTTGAGTCCGGACTCCCCTGCCGCGGCTGAGGTCGGCGTGAAGCCCGCAGAGCCGACGAGACCCGCTGCTGATGGAGCTAGAGCGGACGGCCGAACCAGAGTAGGCGCGGAATTTGTCGGCGGACTCATGCCAGTCCCTTGCACTAAAACACCTGTTGGTGCTGGTGATGATGTCGGTGATATTGACGGTGATAAGGATCCAGAATGATGCCTCACACGGTGATAATTCCCCGGTGATAACTCTGGTGATGATGAACCGGTGGGCGAGTGTGAGGTTGTCCTATTGTTTTCTACATTGTTACTGTGATTCGTTGTGTAATGATTTGATGCTGTTGATGATGCAGGACTTACTGACGGCGGGTTTGGTGATGTGTCCGTGTTGATGACGTCACATTCTGGTGAATGTGATGTTGCAGGTCGGTGTTTTTGTGGTGTTGATGGTGTCGTGGTGGCAGTGTTAGTTGGTGAATTCGTGTGAATGTTGCAATTTGTGTTGTTCGTATTGGTACCACCGCCTACTATAGAATCAATAGAGAAACCGATTTTTGGTTTAGATGGAACGGCCACAATTGGGGTCGGCGCAAGAGGCATCATTGTTTGTGTTTGTGCCCTCTTTTGGTCTTTTTGCCCTTCCGCTCTCGTCTATGTAACTAAGGAAACAAAATTACACCTTCAAAAACTTTTCCTCACAGTAGATTAGTCACTTTGGTAAAGTTTCGCGTGGTCATGTCCTGGTAAGGACATTTCATAGCTTCTTGAACTTTCGTACTTATGACGCCTATCAGTAATTCACTCTTTACTGTAATTTTTAAAATACAAAACTAATTCCTGCACAATTCTTTCCTCTTCCAGTCACAACCATTCTTATAAATAACTCAGTGTTTGAAGAACCAGCTGTGTCACTAAATTCCACATCGAATAGAAATCACAATTTCAGTTCCTCATACAATGTAAGCAATAGAATTCCGCACTGGAGCTCCTCAGTACAACAACAACGTTAGTTAAATTCTTATGCATTTTCCACAGACACGCACTGAGAAATAATATGCAGCTGTAAGCACTGTTACCTTGTGCGATTTTTATTTCTAACAATGACAACACAAGACACTAGGGTAACACTGGCACCAGTCCTTTTTTCTCATCGTTATGACTTTCATTGCTTGTTTTTTAACAATACAGTCTTCATTAAGGTGGCACAAATTCCCACTCAAGCCCGTTCGCTAAACGTTCTCGAACAGTTTTGTGATGTTCTTGCCTTCAAGCTGAAGCAGTCCCCCCTGCTATTTTACGAACTGGGCGGGGGAGGGGTCAAACTATTATGATCTTCCCCTTTTCCCCACCGCAGCATTTCGCTTTCCACCATACAGGCTCTGATTGGGTCATTAAGAGGACAGCTGGGTGTGATGAGAGTCTAATAGCAAGCTCCTATTGGCTAGACCCTACTTTACAAGTGTCTTTTGCACCACTCCCATCGGGGGGAAACATGTTTATACTTTAGCGAGAATTTAAGTTTGCGAGATGGTTTACATGAACCTAATCAGGTACAGTAGATCTAAAAATTTTAATTAACAAATCAGAAATATTACATTAAAAGCTGATATAAATTATATTACCGTACTTGGAAATCAATTTTGTGAATGAATGAGATTCAGCTGCAGCAGCGCGAAATATAGAAGTTCCTCAAAAACTTTTGAGTTAAGTTGTGTACACTTTGTATGCGCCAGCGCACACATTTGTCCACAAATTACCGTGTGTCAGAAACGCTCAATCACTTCTGCTCTTTGTTGAAAACTCCCCTCCCCCCTTTTTGAATCATGTCTTCATGACTGTGCTGCCGACCTAGCGGTGAAAAATGGAAGTAGGGGTAGATCCGTACAAATATGGCGTCCATTCAAGTTGTTCGTGCATCCATAATGCAAAAGTTCATTGTGTTCTATTGAATGAAAGCAATCCCTACCTTATACTGACATCTGCCGAGCCGGTTTTGGGCATCCCAGCTGGAATACGTAAGCTATATGTGACCTTTCTGTAAGTTAATATAACATAATTACAAGGATTGATGTCACAGTGACGTGTAGCATACAGTTAACTGCTATTATTTATTGATAATATACTCTTCCTGCATGAAAAGAAATTCATTTCGACATTTTAGTATTTTAGTGACAAAATAAAGATGTTATGAGCCCATTTGCACCTTGCATGTTTTTCAAAACGTAGACCTCATGCCACAGTGGGCTCTACTGAATTCGGTGGATAGCTATAAGCCCTCAGTTTTGGGTGTCATTTGAGAACAAATCAATTCAGGGCCATATTAAAATGTAACACATGGTTTCCAAGTAACTGACATATTTCGAATTATATGTAATATAAAATTGACTATAAAATTTAAGTATGTTAAGAAAAGAACAACAAGGAAACTTAACAAAACCTCAAGGCTGTGCAGTAAAGCTACTTGCTTATCAGTGAATTAAGATTATTGTCTTTATGAACATGACGTCATGACTACGCAACGTAGCCGAGCCAAAATTATGGAGGAACCTGCCATGTCCATCTTCAAGGTAGACGATTATATCTACCATCGTGAGATTCTATAATCTCTTAGAATTTACGTGTGAACCTATTGGCCTGTAAACTTAATATAATACAATTTTCTTAATAAATTAAATCCAGTCCCTGCCAGTTGCTCATTTAGGCTTGTTCTAGTTCTCTGTTTCATTTCAAGCACGCCTTTGGTAATTTGTAGTCCTATAGAATAGTGCAGTATCAGGCTGTGTAATGGCGTTAGTACTACTTCTTTGTTTCCTCTCGGTATCCTCCTCTTGTAAATTAAAGTCATAACAAGAATGGAACTGTGTTAGTATTTGGGCCAATTCGGAAAATAGTATTACTCCTTTATATCTATTATGTAAAAAAAAAGAAGAAAAAGTATCCCTGTAACAAACCTTGTCGCCATCTATGAGCCGATTGTATAGAAAATGTGGGAACCTCAACATCTCACAACTCTATGGGCCTCCACGGCCTGTTACAGGGATACCTTTAACTACTTTACTTTTATCCCTGTAACAGACCGTGGGGGCCCATAGGGTTGTGAAATGTTGAGATCCTCACATTTTCTAGACAATCGGCTCATAGATGGCGGTAAGGTTGTCAGCCCTACGCGCCGGCCGCCCTTTACCGCCAAGAATATTCCTGGTACTCATTTCTGTTAGAGGCTGAGTCGATTCTAGGGTCATAATGTGGCTGGAAGGATTAGATAAATTGAAAAAAAAATCCACCTCATCAGGACTTTAACCCGCAACCTTCCGGCTTATAACATAGTGCCTCAACCAACTACACTACCGCGTGCCCCATATCTATTATGTAGACAGGCGTAAATATGTGACATTTTATTCTGTGAATATTCCTTATTGTTCGCTAGAGGATTATAGTGAGGGTATATTAGATCAATAGGCTAGAGAAGAATTCAGAACAATTTTCTTCATCATTGCTTGTAACCACATTTCTGGTCTGCAAACATGTGATGAAATTAATTCTATATCTTAAAATCGCAGGTATTATGGAATATAAACTAGCATAATATCATGTATTATCCAGAAAAACCAAAACAAAATACACCAATGTCTTCCTGCCATACAAAATGACTGATCTCGTGTGGATGCAGTTACGTGGTATCATAGGAACATCTGTAAACAGTTTCGATACCTACCGCTGCGCTGCGCCACCAAACAGAGCAGATGTTGTGATGTCCCTTATTGCCCCTTCATTTCCTAGTACCCTACTTCCATTTGTAATTTCACTTATCAGTAGACCAATAATTCTAATCGATTAAGGAAGATAATTACAGTGTTTTGAATCCGTGGTGTGCTGATTATAAGTGGTTTCACCCCATGATGGTCATCTGCTATGATCTCTGTGCATAACCTTCATGAATGACGTAATGAGAATGAGCTACTATGACAATACCGTGCCCAGACAACCTAGGCCTACTTGTGAAATTTGAGGTTTTCACTGCAGTGATTGTGAGAATTTGACCCACTGCCTTCTGGAATTTATCGACTTGTACTCCGATAGATTCGTCGCCGACGTTTCAGAAGAACATATTGCTCCAGTTTTCAGAGTAGATGAGGTTTCTTTTTCCCTGAGAGGAATCTTCTAGATAACGGAAAGATGGAGGCAGCAGGTTCTTTCGAAACGTCGGTAATAAGCTGCCAGTATCCACGACATCACATCCTAGAAAACAGCAAACTTTATTGACTCTCCCAATTAGGCTGGCTTTAGTTATTTTCAGCCTTATTCACTTCCTGTCACTCCCACCCGAATGAGTGATGTGTCTGCCCACGTCAGACGTTATGAGTAACAATTCGTAACATATCATTTTCTTTATATCGGGAAAATTCGGCTCCAGACTCGGCGGCCACCCCTTATCGATTCTTATTAAATAGTCCCTATGGGACTCTTCGCGAAATGTGAAGGACGTCCCTTCCATGCGCACGTGGGCTCAACGAGTTTCGCCATGTAATCCACTCTAACAATAAACAGACATGTGCCATTGCCTAGTAACAGCCTTTTATATAGTCACTTTTTTCGAGTTCGTTGCCTAACAACGGGTTTACATACTACAATATTATAGGCCTAGAATAGGCTTATTGCCATATAGATAAATTAGCTGAGATGGTTTATTATTATAATCTAACGTAAACCGTATACCGTTCGGGCTTCCGACTTTATTTGGAGGGTGTCTGGTTCTAATGTCTGCTGGGACACTTGATTATCAAGATATATTTTTGTGTTGGTCTTCAGTTCACTCCAGATTAATTCCAGGGCCGTAGGTTACTTAAAAATTAGGCCACGAAGAATTCTTTCCACGTACGAGTAATAGGCTTACAGTTTTTATCCTCATGCATATCTGCCTATTTTATTTTAATGCTGAGTAGCACTCGATGTATGTGAATGCTAACTGCTTACTTTGTGCACTTGGTGAAGCCCTGTGTTTCTATATATAGGTACTATAAAGAAAAATACACCAACTTTGAGGCTAGTAAAGACGTTGGTCTAGAAGTAAACGTAGAGAAAAATGAGTATATGTTACTGTCTCGTCACCAAAATGCAGCGCAAAATCATGACATAAAGATAGCTAACAGATGTTTTGAAAATGTGGCACAGTTCAGATATTTGGGAACAACGATAACAAATCAAAATCTGATTCATGAGATATTGAGGATATTGAATTCGGGTAATACTTGCTACCATTCAGTCCAGAACCTTTTGTCCTCTCGTATGCTGTCTAAAAGCAATTACAATATACAGAACTATAAATTTGCCTGTGGTTCCGTATGGGTGTGAGACTTTGAAATTAAGGGAGGAACATAGACTGAGGGTATTTGAGAACAGGGTGCTGAGGAGAATATTTTGGCCGAAGAGGGATGAAATTACAGGAGGTTGGATAAAACTGCATAATGAGGAACTTCATAACTTGTGCACTTCTCCAAGTATAATTAGAATGATCAAGTCAAGGAGGATGAGATGGGCAGGATATGTAGCACGTATGAGGTGAAGAGGAATACCAGTATGGTTTTGATGATAAAACCAGAAAAAAAGAGCTACTAGGAAGACCAAGATGTAGATGGGTGGACAATATTAAAACGGATCTTAGAGAGATAGGATGGGATGTTATGGATTACATTGATCTGGCTCAGGATAGGGACCAGTGGATGGCTCTTGTGAACACGGTAATGAACTTTCGGGTTCCATAAAATGCTGAGAAATTCTTGAGTAGCTGCACAACTGGCTGCTTCTCAAGAAGCGCTCAGCTCCATGAGTGAGTGAGTGATTCACCTGATGAAGCCGTGTCATTAAGTTCTCTGCATCACGTATCCCAACACTTTACATGAAGCGTAATTGTAAGGCTGTAGGCCTATACTGTAGGCTACAGGATTCATCTCCGGACTGACTCTGCTGCTTACCCAGGCTTCTGTCCAAAGGGCAGCTGGCCCCTGGTTCGTGAAGCTGACCACCAAGTTCCGTCTATAATCTCACCAAAATGTGACGATCCCTGGCTCACCCTGCACGCGGAACAGCGTAGCAGTGTTTTCAGATTTTGAATGAATGTATAAGGGGTGGGCCTTCTCGTCCCTTGCACCGCGACCTACACTAATCTATTGGGCTTCCCCTTTTGATTATCCCCTCAGCAAACCTACGCTTCGAATGTTCTGTTCGAAGGCTCA